TGTTTTATTGTGAAGAAATTGTGAATTGTGTAGTTAGATTTGTGATAGAATCACCTGTGTTTGTGTGTGTGTGTGTGCGTAATCTATGTATATGGGTATAGTTTCTTACCTGAATGATCATCATCCTGTTGTTGTTTGCTGTTAATCATCATTTAATTGTTATGATGTTTAGAAAAAAAACAGGTAACTGTCAATGTTAAACTATTACTGATATTATCATCATTATGAAGTCAAATGTTAATGATAATGATGATATCCAAGACGATTATGATAAACAATTTTTATTTTCCCAAATGATCCATTTGGTTTCATTCACAAAAAAAACCTGAAAACCTAGACCTTTGACCTTCCCAAGATTGTGAAACAACAACAATAACCAAAAAGAAAATGACAAAAAAAAACTTTAAAATGTGAGAAAAAATCCTCCTCATCATTATCATCATTATAAATGATTATAATGATAATGGCTGGTTCAAGTAATGATGATACTCAAATCAAACATCAGTATAGATTGATGGCCAACAAAATAATCATTGAATTTTTCTCTGTCATTCCGCCCACAATTTTCAAAAATCATTTGATCATAAACATCACCGAAGAAATAAAAAAATTCAGACAGAATCAATAAAAAAAAAAATCCAAATCAAATTGAATATGTTCTCTCTGTTTTACCATACCAAAAAAAATGATTAAAATTTCCATTTGATATTAGTAATTGATATTATTATCAACATTAATAGTTTCCATAGAAGATATGAATTGGCAAATTTTAAAATTGAACAAAAAAAAAATGATTATGATGAAGATGAATTATGGGTAATTGAACTTTTGTTTGTATTCGGGCGATATTATTAATGACAAGCAGAAAATGAAAAAAAAACAAATCTAAATTGATAATAAATTTTTTTCACTTCATCATTCGGGTTTGTTGGAATGATAAAAATTTTTACTGTTGTTGTTGTTGTTTTTGACAATAATCATTTGGTTGATCATCAACAAAACAAAACAAAAAAACAACAACAAAATCATTGACAATTTATGATGATTGTTGGTCCAATTTTACTGATAATATCGTTTCCCGTATATCTCTATACAGACGCCTACTTTAGATTTTTTTTGTTTTATATTTGAAAAAAGCAATTCAAATTTGGTCAAACGAGAAACAACAACAACAATAAAAATGATAGAATGAAAAAGATGATGATTTTTGGAAAAAAGAAATATTTTAGCATCCAGTAGGAGAAAAAAAAACAACAAATGGCCGACGATTCAAGTCACTTCTATGATAAATTATAATCTTTTTTTTTAAATTTTCAATTGATTAACGTTTATGATCCATGATGATATCAAACTTTTTTCCAGTCAAATTCACATTTTAAAAAGAAGATTAATTGGATAGATTAATTTAGAGATTTAATTGGCCTTAAAAAAGTATTAATCCTTGCAAACATAAAAATTCTTTGTTTGCATTGAGAAGATCATCATCATTCAAAAAAAAATTGTCAATGTTGGTATCCAATTTAATATTGGTTTGACATTCGATAGTTTGACATTGATTTTTCTTCGAAAAGTTTATTCGGATTCTTGTGAATTTAAAATGACAACAGCAAAAGAAAATTGAAATAAAAAACAAACATGAAACGATTATCTAACATCTGGCTGGCATAGTAATGAAATATGAAATCTTTGAAAAAGAAGGAAACCCGGTAGAATGAAGAAAAAATCAACTGAAACTGGATCAAGGAAATTGATTTCAAATGACAAACAAACAAACAAACAAACAAATGTGGAAGCAACAAAACAAAAAGGTGGAAAGAAATCAGTAGACCATATGAATCTGTTATATGTAGGCGATCATCATATACAAAATAATCTTGATAATAATGATTATGATGATGGATGAAATATGCAAACTCTATTTGATGATGATCATTCGTAGATAATGTCAATTATATATGACATATATTTTGATTATGATGATGATTTTTTCCCTTTTGGTTGCCTATGTTTTCGACATATATTTCAATGTATTATTCAACCAGAAAGCAAAATGAATTTTTTTTTTTGAATTTTTAGATTCCAAACAACAAAAAAAATTTTCCCTTTCACTTTAAATGACTAGATAAAAAGATTGATTTGTTTGTTTGTTTGTTTGTTATGGTTGTCTGATATTTGTTGTTTGCCTTACAAATCATCGATCATTTCATAGATGATGTCTAAATATTATTGGATCGATCCATCCAAACATTTCGGATTCACGTAAATCGAAATGTTTTCACAAAGATTTTTCAAATTGGAAATGAAATTGATGATGATAGATTCATAAAATGGATGTATTTGTTTGTGAACGAAAAGAAATAATAATAAAAAAAACTAGCGCACGCAACAAGATAACAATTGAATGAAATTGGAAAAAAAATTTCACAGAAAATTGCGAAATACACACACAATTCATCAATTGGAAAAATAATATAAATATATCCATCTATCCATCCATCCATCTCCCACGTGTATTGTAAATTGAAATGAATCAATTGTAAATCGATGATTGCAAATGTGAAAAACAAACCGGTAGTTGTGTTTCCTATTTTCATTCTTAATGACATTTGATCGCTTTAATATTTTGGCCGGTCATATGATGATGATGATGAAAAAAAAATGAAATTTAAATTTTTTTTATTGTAGTCGTCTATATAGTGACCACTGTGTTTGACAATAAAAAAAACGATGGATGGATGTAATTGGATTTCATTTTTGTTGAATTAAAAACCAATTTCAACAAATTTTTTTTGTTGTAAAATGGATGAGAAATTTCATCGTTTTTCAACAATCGAAATTTTTTCTCCCAAATTGATCGATTGATTGTTGATTTATATAATAATACAATAATGATGATTGTCTCCGATTGGAAATAATTTAGAGTGAAAAAATATTTCGTTTTGGTAATTCTTTTCAATAAAATGATTTGAACAAAAAAAAAATATTTAATTTTCAAATGGAAAAAGTTTAGCTGAACAAATTTTTTTTGAAATGGATATTATCAATTTATTCATTTGGAAATAAAGGAAATAAATGAAGAAGAAGAAACATAAAACAAGAAGAAAATTCATTTTTTCAATCATCAACATTTATTGATTTCAAAATGAGCATCATCATTTTTTATTAAACAACAACAACAAAACAGTAAAAATTCAAGACAATAAACAGTAAAAAGACAACAACAACAAAAGAAAATTATTAATCAAAATATGATGATGAAACAGAACAAAACAAAACAAAACGAAAAAATTAGAATTATATAAAGGTAAGGCACCTGGTTAGTGCAGAATTTTTTTAAAAAAATCTTGCATTCCGGAAGATCTATTTTGTTGATTATCATCATAAAATCATTCAACAATTGAAAACAATTGATAATCAAATCATTTTAGTTATGAAATCAACAAAAAAATAAAGATGTTATTAAAGAGATAATGTTTCTTTGTTGTTGTTGTTTTGAAATTATCATTTTAGACAACAAAAAAAACTTTTATGACAATTTTCAATCCAAATTCCTATATGGTTTTCCGTTTTTGAAATCCATTACATGCGTATTAATGGAAAATTTCAAAACAAAGCGAGAAAAAAAAACAGAGAAAAAGCCCGCGAATTTTTGCTTTCCTTATCATATAGAATCCATTATAATCGTTATGGATATAAAAAAAATAAACTAGTAGCAGTGGTAGTAGCATGTGTGTGTGTGTTGTTATTTGAAGAAGCAAACCAAATCGGAAAAAGAGTGAGGAAAAAAAAAGCAAAGCAAGAGAGAAAGTATAGACAAAAAGAGACAAGGATCATATCTCTGGATACGAGTTGTGTGCGGTTGTTGAACATTCGAAATCATTCGATTCGAAGCTGTATTCGTGATTGTTTCGTTATTATTCTTGTTTTGAACATTGAAATTTTTTTTTTGTTTTTCTGAATTTCTAAATTCAATCAACAATTGATACAGATTTGTAGTAAGATTTTTGAAAAATTTCTAGTTGAATTTGATCATCAAAAAATAGTGCATCAATCATCATTTTGATTGTGTGTGTGTGTTGAAAATGATTATCTTATCCAAATGTAAACCGTAAGGATATTCGAATCGATAATTACAAGTATCTTAAATAGTGACAAATCAAATGAATCACCATCACATGATTTAGTTTTACAGCAAAAAAAAATCAATGTCAATTCAACCAAAATTATCATTGTTTCGTTTGAAATTTCAATCAAAAATTCGAATCCTTTTATTGTATAGGAATTTCTTTTTCCTTGTTCATCATTGATTTTGTAGCGTTTTTTCCGTCTAAATGTTTTGTGTTTACATAAAATTTGATTCGTTCATCTCAACAAATCAACCAAACAACCAATAACGAAACAAAAAAAACTAAAAAAATTGGGTATAAAATATCACATTATCATTTATATTCAAGTTTTTTTTTCTACATCCCTATCATCATAACCAAGTGTTTTTTTTTAGTGATGTGTATCCAAGTTGGCAACAATCCCAAAGAGTAAAAGAGTAAACACATGTATATGAATTACGACGACAACAACAACAAAAAGCCGTCCAGATCTTTAAACATTATGATTTATAACAATATTCTCGACAAAAATTGTAAACAAAATTTACTCTTTTTTACTTAAAGCTAATCCGCAACCTTAATTTTTTTGCTTGTCGATCCATGTGTGTGTGTATGTTACAAACTGGTACAATTCAATGACAAAATTGTAAAGCTTGTCATTTTAAATTTGGCCTAAAGATTGTGATTTATGTGTGTGTGAAGAGAATTGGCCACAATAATTGACCCATGAGCTTTTTTCTAAAGAAAGGGTCTATAGATAGTGGTAGTGTGTAGAGAGAATAATCCTGTTGATAATGAATTTTAATTCTGTTTGTCAATCAATATGCTGTGTTCAATCAATCTCAAATCAACGATAATCATCATCATTTAGCCATAAATTATAAAGCTTTTTGACTACCAAAATTCAAAAGCAAGGTCAAATCTACAACTATCATCTATCACAAACGCCTACCAAAATTTTGTGTCTAATAAGAATTTTCATAAACATTATCAATATTTTTTAAATGTATAAATAATCGACCAATACATTCGTGTGTGGTCCAAAGTATTAGTTTTTTTGGTTGTTGTTGTTCCCTTCCATCATTCGGTCGATGTTCTCTTATGGTGGTGGGTTTTTCATTTCATTTTTACTTGTGGTGTGGTCGGCTTTTTTTTCTACCAAGCTAACCAATATATTAAACAATAATTTACATCAAATTGCTATTCATCCATTGCAATTATCGTCCATCATCAACATTCAAATTCATAATCATAATATCAACAAATGAATTATGTGTACAATAAAAAAATGGCAACATCAAATACAGCTATGGCCACAGTAGTAGTATCATCATCATCAATATCATTGAATGATATGAATAATGTTAATGATAATGGTAGCTGTGTTACAACAACAAGTACAATAAGTTGCGGTAGTACAAGTAGTTCAAGCGGACTTGGTCTTGGTACCGGATCCGATATATCATCATCATCATGCGGTGATTATCAAACATTTCCACCTCCACCACCACATTTACAATTTTCTCAACAACAACAACATCAAAAACATCCACATCATGATCATTTGGCTATAGCTACTGGTAATAATTTGCCTACACAAACAAATCGTATGTCAATATCTTCATCATCAACACGTCCATCATTGTATTCCCCATTTATATCATCTGGTTCACCATCAGCATCATCATCCACATCATCATCATCAACATCTAGTTCCGGTAGTGTTGGAAATGTTGTACATCAACCACATCCAATAGTATCATCAAATTATACTGCCTATCAGAATATATCAAATCTATATTCCACATATGCTGTACCAAGTCAATTATTGCATAAGAATCCTCATACATCTGTTCAATGTATTAATTTAGAATTGGAAAAAGATGATAAAGGTGAATTAGGTATATTTATTACTGGTCGACGTGCAGCTGATGGAACTTTAGGTTATGTTGTAGCCGGTCTTGAAACTGGAAGTCCAGCACATAGGTACGTGTGGTTTTTATTATCTTTTTTTTCATTTTTACACATACACAATAATTAACAATTTTTCGAAACACGTGTTTTTGTTGTTTGAAAAAACACGTGCAGGTGTTTCATAGAATAATTCTCTCGTTTTTTTTAGGGCAGATGGTTAATGTATTTGAAATGTACCATAATAATAATTGAATGACAAATGATAATAGTTTCATTGTCAAGGCAAAAACAAGAAAAAAATGATATGATTACAATCTAAATCTATCTCTATCCCTATATATACGTCCATGGTTATTTTAACTGAATAATTTTTCAATGTTTCAGTATTTTTTGGGGTAAACAGAGCGATTAGGATCGCCTTCTTTTTTTCTCCTTCACTGAAATTAAAGACATTTTCTTGTCATGCTTGACATGGTGATCGAGATGATGATAATATCCATTCCATTGCTTTTTTCGGTGTTCAAACCAAAATCAATTCGTCGTCAAGACTATTATAATATAAAGATCTTTTTCTTTCTCTTGATTTTTAGTCAATTTTTTTTCGTCACCATTTTTTTCTTTGGGTTTTCATTTATAATTAGCTTTGTACACTCATTCATATTTGATGATTGTTGTCTATTTTCTGTTTGGTTAATAGATATTCTCCCGAAAATATAATAGAAAAAAAACGAAACGAAATTATGTTTTTTTTCATACTTTTTCTCGATGATGATGATGATATGGATGGTAAGATCCAATTTATGAATACCAAAAGAAAAAGTCATCAAAGTTTTTATTCCTTTATACCACATAGTATAGACATACTTCTGATAAATTGGTTGGTTGGCTTTTCGCCACAAGAAACAAAACAAAAATTCCAACATCTTATTCAATTTCCCTAACAAGATCCATCCAGTATTCAATTCTTATCCGGCCTAAATTGCCCATCAATATGACAATGATGATGGATCATACTCATTAAAGGTGTACAATCGATGATAGGGAAATTTTTTCAGTTTCTTTTTAACCAGAAAAAAAGAAATGATTGATTGATTGATTAGTATGACCAACTTTTGAAATGTGTGTGTTTATGTATCCGGTGAATCTACATATATTTGATCGAGAATTCTAACGGAACTTTTTTTTGTATTTCCATTTATAACATTTGTCGCGTAGGTTTTATATTGATTTGCATCTTTATCTTTCATTTGCTCCTACACACAGACGCAAATAAACTTAGTTTTGGATGTTAACCCTAATATAACCAAAATATCACCTGCTGTAGTAGATCTTGTCATTTAGTATTCATTCATTCATCAAATCTGACCATCAATTGACCTTGATTTTTATTTTTAAAAAAATAAACCAGGTAAATGAATGTACAAATCATTATTTAAGTAGAACTTTTTAAATCAATTTTCTATTTAAATTTCAATGTTTTGACTAGTTTCTAAAACATGTTCATCATTTCATTTGAAATTTTAATGAAATTGTAATAATTATTCGTAATTTTTTGGATTATGATAGTAAAAACAAAAATAAATTTTGTCATAAAATCTATTTTCATCATAAAATTGTGAATAATTTCAACATTTGATAATATTGTTATTGCGACAACTTTTTATTATTATTATTACGATGATGTGACTTTTAATTTGAAAATTATTTCAAAGGTTCATGATGATAATAATTGTTTTTTTTACAGCGAAAATTGTTTTCATTCAAAATCATTGTGTTATCATCTTCATCATTGGTTTTAATTTCATAGAATCCATTCACTGCTTTTTTTCTAGATTTAAAAAACGAAAATCAACAATGAATTAATGAAATGACTAAATAAAACTATTGACAATCGAGAAAAAAATAGAAAGCCGAAACAAAATGAAGAAAAAAGCAATCAATTTTAATGGGTATTTGTAATGTAAATGTTTATTTATATTCAAGAATTCATTAGAATTTCTATTCATTCTTGTCATTCCTTGTTATGTGTGTGCTTGTTTGCAATTCAGGTTCTTTTTTTGTTTGCTTCGTTTTTCTTTCAAACGATGATGTATAGAATTTCTTTGTTTGAATTTTATTCATTTAATGTTATTCGATATATATTCATTTTGACGTTGATTTTTTTTGCCTATATTATTGTTAATCATCCATTAAGATTTGATTCAATCATCATCATTGTAAGCTTTGTAACGAATAATGATAATTAAAAGTTTTTTTATATTCATATTCTGTAAAGAATTTTTGAATCATTATGAATGGTGAACAATTCCGATTAGAAAAATCGATTGTCGTTAATGTGATTTTATTCGATTTTTCGATTCGATTTGATCTTTTTGATTTTTGCAGCTATTTGTTTTGTTAATCTATCTATCCTTTTCAAAAACCCTTTTTATTGTTGTTGTTTTTCATTTTCCATTATGATTTATATCGATTATTAGCTGTTTTTTCAACATTGATAATAATTTAGATCGATTTTTTGTTCTTCGTGAAACAAACAAAAATCTCATATATCTTTAAATTTTTACAACAATTGTTCCATTTATTATCATTGTTACTTTATTACAAAAAAAAATTCTGTAGATTTTAAATTTTGTTGTTTTATTTCCTGATTCTTAAATCACATAGAAGTTCATTCATCCAGAATCTCAAATTGCTTTGTCATTTATAGTGGATATGATTGATGATTAATGAATAAATGTGAATCGTGCTTTGGTATTCTCAAAACATATACGTCATATTGTCGATGGTGTCAGTATTTATTAGGTTTATTTCAAATCAGAATTTTTTTTGAAGACAATATTGATAAATAGAGAAAGGGAAAAATGAATTCCGTTTTTTTTTCTTGAGTTTAACCGACGAATTTCTCGTTTTTTTTCTCTCTTGTCTGTCTGTGTAAAGTAAATCCAAAAATGCTAAAACTATTTGACGACGCCTTACACAATATTATCGGGTTTATGGCCTCTGCATTGTGTGTTTGAGTGATTCATCATTTTACCGTTATATACATTCTTGATAAGTTACTGTATATTATTCAATATAAACGCTGTCAGCAGACAATTGGCTCCTTCGAAGATTTGAATAAAAATGACTCAGATCTTTTTTTTCGATCCAGAATCTATTGTCGAGAATTTTATTCCATAATAAAAACCTAGTGATTCATCGATCTATATCACTTATTCATTCATTTTAATAATAATTCACTCTACATATATTATCATATATGGTTCATTCCTTTCTATGTTAGCCAATGGCCAATAATTTGGTTTGATCCATTTATCGGGTTTTTTTTTGTGAATAGAATCCATTCTCTTTCGCTTTCTATTCCTGGAATATTATTCAATTTTTATTTTGTTTTGTTTTTTTTTTCGGTTTGATTATACGATAAGATCAATTGCAACAATAGCATGAAAAAAATTATCAATATTCGTGTCATTTCAACGTCAATAAACAAATTGATTTGAAAAATGAAATGAGGCCACCTCCCTTTGATGATTATAATATTGATGTTGTTGTTGATCATAATCATGTCATCATCATCATTATTTTGTCAAACTGCAATGTTTTTTTTTGTTTTTGTTTTGTTTAACGGAACGTTTACACAGGTAAACAGTTTTATTTATCGCCTAAATACATACAATGATATTGTTCATTATGATGAAAATGGTTCTTGTTTGTTGATTTTTTTTGCATGAAAAACTTCTTTTCTGGTAATAGGTAAAAGTGAAGCCCTATTGTTTTTTCACCATTTTTATGCACGATTTTTGGATTATTATTGAAGCATTTGCGGTTGACATAAAAGGTTTACCATTTTTTCCTCTCATTTGGTAACATTATTTTTTTTGTAACAGTTTTTTTTTAGTGAGATTAACTTTCTATAATCATATTAGGATTTTTTTGTTTTGTTTTAATTTATAAACTAATGATGAAAAACGGTCTTTTTTATGGTCCTTCAGAAAAAAAATTCATCTTGTTTTTTTCGATTTTGGTATTCTGGAACATTCTGATTATGTTGAAATTTTTTCTCTCCTCAGTAATAGTTTCAACGCACACACACACAGAATCTAGGATCATTTATTTCATTCATCACCATCATCGTTCGTCATTTGGTATGCTTTAGCCGTGTTCCATAATATGCATGGCTAGTGAAAAAAAGTTACGGGAACTTGGAAAAAAACGAAATCCTATAGTTAGTCAATTGAATTTTGATTAAGCAAATAAATAAATAAATAAATGGAAAAAAGGAGAATTTGTTGACGTTCGCTTTATTATATGTTGTGTTGGGGTCAAAGTTCGGATATCAGTTTTTCTTCGCATGAAAGCCAAAAAGTTGAATCAATTTTTTTCGCCGAATCAGAATCCAAATCATCAATTTATTCCAAGTGATCGATTTTGGAATTGATCGAATCTCAATAGAACTTTTTTTCATAAGTAATCGATGATCCGACCAAATTTTTATTTGTACATTAGATTTTATTTTTTCTTCAGGCTTTTGATCTTATTTTTTTGGGTGATTTATACAGTCTGTCAAATATTATTACTGTAATAAGCGATTTTCGCATGCCAAACACATACACACACGTTTTTTTTAAAAAAAATAACAAATCTAAAATCAACCATCATTTGATCCAATGATTAATTGCTAGAATCTTTCTATATACAATCGATTCAATAGAATTGGATTCTAATTTAGACATTCAACTTGTTTGTTTGTTTATTTATTTATTTAATGTAAAATAATTTATTTTTTTCTATTGATTATTATCATTGATTTATTTTGACTTTTGAATGAATGAATGAATCATTCATTCATTGATTTCCTGTTTTATATTTATTCGATTGATTGATTGAACACATATTGATATCATTTTGTTTTTCTTCTATCAATTTTATTGACAATTATAAAATTTATTGAATGAAAATCTTATTAATAGATCAATATGAATCGATTAAACGAATCATTTGAATTGAAATTTTTTTTCTCTACTTATCTACACTTTCGATACAAACAATAATGATGATTATTTTAATTTTAATTTAAATTCATTTGTCAGCGAAACTAAATGATAATTGTTTTGTTTCGATTGATCGATTTCGTGGCTACGATTTTCTTCTTTTTTTTCTGGCCGATCGTTTCCTTTTTTCACATTTCACCTGTAGTCAATTTCTCTCTCTCTCTTTTTCTTTTAAACGTTCCGGATTTGGAATCACTTTCTGTTTCTTTCTATAAATTTAATTTGCAATCATTTATTATTTTTCAATACTTTTTTTCCTTGTTTACACGATTGATTCAAAACAACAACAACAAAATTATCTGACTCTCAACAATAATAACAAACTTTTTAACACTCTCCATTATCATTATTACTATTTATTGAATCTTTTCGAAAACTTGTAAATATCGTTAGCATCCAAAACTCAATAATGTATTCGATGCCAATATAAAATGCTAATATATTTTGCTTTGCACTATTAGTTTCATCATCAGCATCATTTTTTTTGCCGATTCGATATAATCGAAATTTACAGAACAACATCAACTGCATAAAAAACTAAACATTTTTGATGCAAAAGTTTTTTATTTCACGAAGACTGCATTTTTATGTTTTCATTTTCTGATTTTTTTGATTCAGTTTATTATCTTTAAACATCGTTGTTGTTTGATAAATGTTTGTTTCTGTGTCTATTTTGAATCGATCCAAACATTTTTGTGAACAAAAAATTTCTATTAAACGAATGAATTATTATTAATTTTGTTCATTTTTCTTTCGTTCCTTATTCGATTGATTTTTATTGAATCTCAGTTTTGATTGAATTTTTCTTTCATATTTTATGTTTTTAACATTGATTTCAACAGCGTAAAAAAATTCCACTCATTTGTTATGTTCATCATCTGAATGTAAATCATTTTTTTTGAAATTCAAAAATTCCAAATAAATTTTGGAATTTTTCTTTTCCCAACCCAAATATAATCGTCTGTTGTACATCATTGTGATCGTCGAAAAAAGTGAAAGTTAATGAACCATTGAAAAGAACCCCTTAAGTTTAAGTTTTTCTTCTTCATGATTTTTGTCTCAGATTTCAATTTGAAATCTTTCAACTGGGTATATTTTTATTAATTTCATAATTTTAAAAATTTTGATTTTTTTCTGATTGAATGTGCCAAAAAAACTTGAATCGTTGATTTTAATTTCGTTAAATTTCAATCAATCGAGAATAAAGTGGAAATTTTCTTTTTCGTTCTTCATTCGTCATTTCTTTTTTTTGCAAAATTTGTAATTTGATCAACAGAATTTTTTTTATGGAAAAAATCGCCCATTTTCTCCTTGATTCTTTTTCAAGATTCATTTTTTTCATTTATAAAGAATCATAAATTTTTTTCATTGAAGGGTGGTATTGTCATTCTTCATCGTGTATTTCATTTTATGATTGCAACGTTTGTTGTATGATCATCATATTTTTTTCATTGATTCTTTTCAAAAATCTATTCATCAACCATTTCAATAACCATCATGTGATGATGATTACTCATCATGAATTTTCTTTTCTCTTTTTGTTATTAAATTGTTGTTGTTGTTGTTAGATAAATTTTATTATTCTATAAAGGTGAACGTATGGAATGGATGAATCATCATCGTCATCCATAAGTCAACAATAACAATACCTCCTTTTTTAAAGGAGACAAAACTGAAGGATATATTCATACATGGCTCCCGATCCCCATTAACCTATTACTTTATTTTTTTCTGGTTATGTTTATATTTTCAACTTATAAACCCTTTAGGGTTGAGAAAAAAAATTGATAATAAGTTCCTTTAGGTTGATTTAGTGTTTGTTCTGTTAACATTATTTCTTTCACGTTGTAAAAAAAACCTGCAAAACTTGTTCGTCGTTTGACTCTATTTTTTAGTTTTATTCGAAAAACTTTATTACATTTATTTATTCAAAAGGGGGTTGATCATCGTCGTTATCATCATCATCATGCCAATCATCAACATCGTAGATGATTAACAAAATCCGAAAAACAAACCCAAAAATAAAGGTTTTTGAAAAAAAATCTCAATCACTTGTCTTTTATCAAAACAAATCATCATCCATCCATGACTGAATGTTGATAAGAGATTATATGATCATATTTTGGATAATCATCATCCGGATCAATAATAATAATGATTCATTAAAAAATAATTTTTTTAAATTTTTATTGTTTTCGTTGTTGTCTTTGTTTTTAAAAGAAAAATTTATTCAAAAAAGAAAGAAAGATAATTATTGTTTATATTACGATAACAATGTAATTTTCTTTTGTTTTTCATTCATTCATTCATCTTGTTCGTGTGCCATTTTATCCAGTGATTATATATTTGTATTGTGTTACTGTATCCTATTTTCGGAAACGATCATATTTAATTTATAATTTTTTAAGATTTAACAAAAAAAATAACTTTTGGTTTTTTTTCCTTTTCGTTCTCCACTTGAATTGATCATTGATGAAATGATACCTTTGACCTTTTTTCCCCTATTCAACAATTGATTTATGATTTCATTTTTAAAAAATTTTTTGCAACAAAAAACGAACAAAAATGACCAATCATTTTTCAATTTAAAATTTTCAACAACAAAAAAATATCCATGGTAATATTCGAATAAGAATTATGTGTCTCTGAATGCTCAGAGAAAGAAAGAAGTGGAAAGGTAGTGAACTTGATTTATTTGCATTTATTCACTTTCAGCTTCTTTCAAGTGTCTTATTTTTCTGGCCTGGTATTATCTTTCTTCGATTTAGTATATGTCAAAAACATAGGAGAAAATTATTCTTTGAAATTGAAATCAACGGCGATTTATCACCATCATCATCTTTATCATTATCAAAAGACATGCATCGAACATTTGTCGCCAAACCTGTGCTTCTGCTTTTTCTTTATATTCTCTTTCTACCATTGATCATTTATTTTTTGTTTAAAATTCATTGATCAAGATTCATTCGATGACGACTATTTCACTATTGAATAAGTTTATTTATTATTCTTTCGGTTTGAATAATGAACATGTTTTCTTAAAATAATAATCGAGGTGATAGTTGAGTAATAGAGTCAATATTTTTAAACATTTATTTCAATCTTGATCTTGTTGGTATCATTATATAATCATAATTTATTTTTATGTGTCGATGACTTGAGTTAAACATTTTTAACCGATTTTTTCGTTTGAATTTGTCAATGTTTTTTTCATCTTTTCTTTTGAATCTTGATATAATACATCAAACACCTTTTTTGCCATTTGTTAATGAAGTTTTTTTACTTTTTTTCTAATTCCTTACAGATGTGGTCAAATTGAAAAGAATGATGAAGTATTAACAATTAATGGAATATTATTACGTGGATTAAATGTAAATGATGCTCTACATCATCTTAAATCGCCGGAAAAACTTGTCCGAATTGTTCTTGTCAAACAACGTTCATTGATTATTACATCACCAACATCATCATCATTGATTAATCAACAACCAACTGGACAACAATTATATTCGGCAATTTATCAGAATCCTAAACAATTGTATTCGTCAACGGCAACCATACAACCATTACCACCACCGCCGCCTTCATCAACATCATCGGCATCATCATCATCATCGATAACGAATCTAATTATTCCATCTGATATAAATAATTTATTATTGAGTCAAACGACAATCAAAAATGATTCATCATCTAATCATCAATTAAGTGGTGAAATCGATCTGGATAAGATGGCTTTGATAACCATTTCGAATGATGATTATAATAACAATAAAAAATTAGTTGAAAAATCATCGTCTACCTCGATCAATCATCACAATAATAACAACGCCTCATCATCGATCACAACAGGGAATATGTCGAATAATAATAATAATAATGATAATAATATTCAATCATCATCGACAGCAACGTTGACAAGATCTACATCGGCACCATCTAAATCAAAAAAATCACTTGGTGCACGTTTAGCATCATTGTTGAATCGTAAAACTACCAATACCAATTCAATGATGTCTAGAAAATCTAATAATAATAAAAATCATACATTACCAACATCGTATTCTACATCATCGATATCGACTTCAACATCCAATAAAAATAATAATAATGATGAAACAAATAATAATGATATTATCATTGGTTATGATGGAAATTATATACGTACACCGAAAATTCGTTCCAAATCTATTGGTAATATGTCATCATCGATATCCGTACCAAATGGTTTAGGACCAAACAATACTACTAGCACTAATAATAATAAAAAAGTGCAAATTATTACCGATAAAAATAATGATAATAATAATAACAATATTAATGGCAACATTACGATGAACATTGGTTATCCTGATAATTCAACATCATCATCATGTAAATTACGTTATATATCATTAAACAATGTTGCTGGTAATTCAATTTATGGCCATTTTAGTGGCCCAAACAACAACAACAATAATAATACTGCAGTGCAATATTCACAACCGATTCCTTCAACAACAACAACAGCGAGACAACATCAAGATCGTTTATACAATCCATATGTGGCCTTTAAACAACTTCATGTACAACAACAGGTCAACCAACAAAATCATCATTATCATCAGCAAAATTTTCATAATCGATCGACATTCGATAATGGTTCAGTGTCTCCATTGAGCCAAGCATTATGTACATTACCACGAACAAATAAACCAAAACATTTGAATTTGATAAACACGACAATGATGGCTGAACCGAAAAAATCAAACTGTGTTGCCAATAACAGTGGTGGTAATAATAGTGATCTAGTCGATAGTGATCAACATAAACAAAAAAATTCAACATCAAAAGATCCGTGCATTAGTTATGCTGAAAGTTTACTATCACCAACAATGATACAGCCGATCATATTTCCATCGATACAAGATAATAATAATAATAATAATGGTTCTGGTGGTGAAAATTATGGCAAATTGAATAATGGTGGTGGCCGTATCTATGTTCGAATGAATCGACAATCTAGCCATCATGAGAATAATAATCATTATAGTAAACAACATCATTCAATGACATTAAATCCAAAAAATATGACCGAACAAAATGGCCATCATTATCAACAACAAAATAGTTCTGAACCACAAACAATTACATTTAGAAAAGGGCCAGATTGTAAAGCTCTTGGCTTTTCTATTGTTGGAGGTATCGATTCACCTAGAGGTGAGATGTCCATCTTTGTTAAAACGGTGTTTCCTGAAGGTCAAGCTGCCGAATCAGGCCAACTTTCCGAAGGTTAGTAAATTGATCGAATTTTTGTTTTTCATTCAAAATGAAAAATATTCAGCATGTTTACTATTGTTGACATATGTTGAATTTTTTTTAAACATGCAACATCTTATTCTTGTCAGTGATTTTGATTTTGATTAATTGCCTTGTTCGTTCATCATCGCCTTGATGTATTCGTTTTGACTAAATTTATTTTTTCTTTTCTCTACATTTTATTTTAAAACTTTGCAGGTGATCAGATATTGTCGATTAATGGCCAATCGACTGAGAATCTTACACATGGCGAAGTGTTACAAATGTTTAAACGTGTCAAACAAGGCGAAATTGTATTACAAATATTGCGACTAAATTCGGCCATGAAACATTCAAATAAATGGTATGTATCATAATGTCGGAATGCTCATAAGACAACAAGATGAATCGAAAGAAAAGATAAAGGAATGTTCATCTGGGTCAACAAAATCTTTTTTCCTGTTGTATTCAAAAATTTTTTATTTTTATTTTTTTTCATTTCAATTTATCTTAGCTATCCATCTACAGTCGCTAATGGTGGTGGTGTTACATTGTCCAGATCATGTTTTGATCTAGATTTGATTACCGGTAAATAATGTATCTAGAAAAACTGGTCTCCAATAAATGATGTCCATATACGACATAAAACAAATGCCATTCGTGATATACACAAACACTCATCAATATCGAAAGACGACTAAGCCAATATTGGACGCCATTTCGATCTTTATCATCCTTTCATCTTGATTTTTTTTCAACCATTTCAAATTCTGATGGATCTCGACAGCAACAATAACAACATTGTTCATACACATCATTTATAATTATTGTTTTTTGATCAATAGAAACATTTACAGACAAAATGATACGATTGCCTCTTTCAAACAAAACGAAATAAATTTCTTTTTTCAAATGATGAGCTTATTGAATCCAAAAAAACGTATTTCTGGTTTAATTAAACCAATTTTGCTTCTGTTTTGCAATTATGATCATTTTGTTTGTTCAAGGATAATTAGATGATTTTTTTTTGAAAATAAAATGAAATCATTGTTTTTTTCATCACGATCTTATAAATTTATGTTCCAAATGGAACACAACATCTGTGTAACCACAGTAATTCAAGTTGATGATAATGATGATGTATGTTTCAGAATTTGAACAGCAAATTTCGATTGTATCGATTCGAAATCATAAACAAAACATAACGGAAATCTGTTTTATTTTTTCTCATCTCATTTTGATTAGACTTATTCGATCTTGGATGATTGTCTGTATTTTTTTACTGAGGTCAATGAAAATTAATTTTTTGCGTTTGTTTTTTAAAAATATTTTCTGTTTATATTTATGAATGTCTGTTTCATTATTGGCGGTCAAACTCACAATTGATTTGGATGACCACAAAATTGAAATAGATTTAAAAAAAAAAACAATTTAAAGCATCTGTCAGTTTGTTCAATGTTGTTGTTATAATCCATGGCACGATCATATATCGTTTATCATCCATTCTGAATGAATGCAAATACAGTAATTATCATTGGAAAAAATAAATGTTTATCGATCATCGACAAACGCAATAGATTTCAACATTTTTTTGCTGAACTTTTTTTTTGTTAATCACGAATAATAATAATGGCGCCATTTTATAATTGAAAAAAGAAATTTTTAAAACAATTTTCTCCCACAAGTTTTCATCAAGTCGATCCAGATTAGATCCAACGGAACATCCTATGAATTGCCATGTATGGAAATCATCTACATTAACATCAGGTATCCTTGATGGTTGAACATTGTCATATGTTCAAAACTTGAATGTTGTAATTATATTTTTTGTTAAGATAACAGATTTGCATTTTATTTATTTCAAATGAATTTTTTTTGCGTGTGTGTTTGTGTGCACAAGTACTTGTTGCTTCGATTAATTTTTTTTTGTTGTTGTTTATCATATATTCAATGAATAGTTGAACATTATTGAAAAGTGGGCGCCCATAAGGAACTTTCATTCAATTGAATTTTGCTTTTGTTTTTAATTAAATTCGTAAAATTTCATTAACAATTTGATTAAAATCATCTAAAGGAATTTTGGCGCCTATATTCATTTCATCCATTATGATTGTATGAAATTTATTTTTTAAAATTGTTTTCCTACATTGATCATATACATGTATCAATAAGTAGAGAAAAAAAACTAGACGGTAATACTGGAATAATTACGCTATGTTGTGATAACAGAAATCTATGTGTAGGCGAACACCGAACTTTGGTAATAATAATCATGATCATGTTGACAGATTGATTGACAATATTATCATGCTAGTTTGTTGTAGTTTATTCTGCATAATACAAATTTCGAAATTTAATCAAATTGATCATGACATTTTCAAGATGATTTTAAAACATAAAAAATGAATGATGTATAGGAAATTTATTTACAAAATGAATTTATGATTCAAATCAATCGACAATTTTAATATTATCATTGATTGTTTCATCATGATGATTTTGGACCGATTCGTATTTGGTTTGATGTAATAATAAATGAACAAGACCACCACGATTATTCATCGCTTGTCGAACCTTATTTTGTTTTTTAATTAATTCATCATTTTTATACATTTGTTCCAATGTTTCTAGATCTAGTACAGCTTGACGAACTTTTTCCCATCCATAATGAAGATTACATTTTTTGCGTAATAAACGACAAAAATTATTTGGTTCATCGTCAAACGGATTATCTTCAGATCGCAATGGACATCCACAAAGTTCATCATCAGGAATTCTTGGTTCTTTCGTATGTTCCGGACAAATCACACGAAGTCTAATTATTTTATTAAGATAAAAAAAATATCAATAAAATTTGAATTAATAATTTTAAAAATCATACCTTTTACAATAAGTTTTATTGCTAGGATTATAAGTTTCACAAAATAAAATATTATTTGTACTTCTATTCGAACCAAACGAGGCTTGACTTTCGACTTTATTGAAACATCGTTCCATATGTTTTAATGCCTATGAAAAAAATTATTGATAAAATATTAAATTGTTGTACAAAAATATTCACTTACCATTTTGACGGATACTTCTTGTGCACAGGTAACACAACCAATCGTATCATTACCCGTATCATTGTCGTTTTCAAGTATAGCCGCTTCTTCTTCTTCGGTATATGGGACACAATTTTTACCACGAAAAAGTAGTTCCTCTAATTCCATTCTTTTCTGTTGGATTTCTTTCATTTTTTCCTGAGTTTTAATTATTTCACATTCAATTTCTTCGAGTTCACGTTTAGAACGTTCATCTGCAGCTGTCGGTACCGATTGCCATTCTTTAATTCGTTGAGGTAGAATAAGCATTATACGTTTATCAGCTAGATTGATACCACATTGATCGCTACAATATTTAGAACCTTTACGAGCAGCATAAATACAACCAGGACCATAACATTGACGGGGTGAAATTGATTTACTTTCATCACCACTTTCATCTGAATGTACTTTTGATCGGTTATGTCGATGTTGAGATTTTTTTACAACACTTTTCTTGCGACCACGATTCCCTTTTCCTTTGGTACTTTGACCTTTTTTGCGACCTCTTTTTGTTGTCTTTTGATCGGATTTTTTCGGTTTTTCTTTCAATACGTTTTTCCGATATTTTCTTTTATGAGTTTTTTTCTCGTTTAACAAACGAAAGTCTGCATCATCATCATCCTCGAAATCATCAGGTGAATAATCATCTTGCAAACGATGTTTTACAGCATTATCAAATGGAACATCAATTTTAGACGTACGATTTGTTTCGGCATTTACCGCTTGTGAACGACACATTAAACAAAAATATTCTTTCATTTTTTTCGCTTCGGATTGAGTGATCTTAACACATTCTCCATGGAACCATTCATTACATTTATCACACATTATCATGAATTTATCCGAACGAGAACTTCGACAAAGACAATATTTCTTCTTTTCAGTCTTTTTACGATTGACTTTCTTATTGTTAATGGCCGAATTTTCTTGTTCAACACTATCGTCATCATCATTTTCAGATAAATCCATATCACAAGATTCATCTGAAAGCATATTGGGTAAGAATTCATCATCATCATCTTCGTCGATACCCATAATTCAAGATAAAAATTTAGCTAAAATTTTCTATTCGTATTAACCACATGAAAAAATTTATAAACAAAAGCGCTCAAATAATTTTTTTTACGAAAACATTCTATATGAACGGACTAGCCGCGTTTCATTTTGGGTGTCAACGTTTTATTTTGATTGACTGTGTTTGTTGTATATTTGTCGGCTTTGTTGACTTATTGATAAAATTTTTTTACAATAAAATCCAACTCTAACCGTTGTTTTAATAGAAATACAATATATTTGTTTAATTGTGATTAAATCAATAATTTTTCAACTCAATGTATGAATATCCGGCTTATCTAAAAAAGTCTGATTGCCAAACCATTATTGCTATATAGAATAGTGGATTAAATCATTGCATGCTACTATCTGCTCGATCGTTTTTGGTTTTCAATATTTTGTTTGTGTGATTCAATGCTTCGATTTGATCAAATCTCATTGATTCACACGGACACATTTGTATTTTTTTCGATCGTCCACTTGGTTATTATTTATCTGATTGATTTGTTCCTGGAACCTAGTTTATTATAATTATTAACAACAAAAATTTCCCAAGGTATGAATGCATTGATCATAAATTGAATTAGACTGACATTTCATTTATTTTTATAAATATTGTAGATTTACAAGAAAGAAATCTCGAACAAAATGTCGGCAACACTTCGTCCATATTTATTGGCTGTACGGCGAACATTGGAAGCTGCCATTTGTTTGATAAATTTCAATTCACAAGTGGTCGAAAGACATAATAAACCTGAAATTGAAGTTAGATCAAGTAAAGAATTGCTCCTGAATCCTGTGATTATATCAAGAAATGAACGTGAACGTGTGTTGATCGAATCGAGTATTAATTCGGTTCGAATTTCGATTGCAATCAAACAAGCCGATGATATTGAAAGTATTCTAGCGCATAAATTTACACGTTTTATGATGATGCGTGCAGATAATTTTGTGATATTACGGCGTAAACCAGTGAAAATGTCCTTTACAACGAATGGCCAAACAGTTGGAACATTAACATTATCACAACAACAGCGAACACCCACCGGATCATATTCATCAATCAATGGATTCAAAGATAGCAATGGTCCGCAATATGATTATGATATATCATTTTTAATTACAAATTTTCATACAGAATCAATGTATCGATTTAAATTGATTGATTTTATCATACATTTTATGGAAGAAATTGATAAAGAAATCAATGAAATGAAATTAGCAATCAATGCACGTGCTCGTATAACTGCTGAAGAATTTTTGAAAAAATTTTAAACATGAAAAAAAACTATGAAAATTCAACATCTTATACGCAAATGATTCACATATACATTTTTGCACAAACACACAAGTACAAACAGTTTAAATATCAATAACATGTTTCATATATTCTTTGTTCACTAAATTCCATAATGAATTTGTCTAATTAAAAAACAAAAGAAAACAATGCCATCAGCGGAAATTGGAAGAATAGAATTTGTACAAAGTATTTATCGTTTATATTTTCAGTTATTTCATTTGTGTCACTATTCATTAATATTTTATAATCCAAATAAATTATTTCGCTTTTTCTTCTTTTTTTTATCGAACCGAAAATATTTCATATTCGTCAATGTTTTAAAGTAAAAAAATAAAAATCTTTCTAACCTTGAAAATGTCATGGATAACATTTGTTTTATGATTGTTCGAATGAAATGAACAGTAATAAAAACAAAAATTCGATGAATATTGATGGATGGAATGTGAGACGAAATCATTTTTCTATGGATTCCAATTTCAAATCGATACAGTTGTATTCTTCGTTATTATATGTCAATGACGGTTGACTACTATTTCTTTCCATTAGATTGTCATCATTAATTATTAAATAGTTTTTTTATTTGTTTTGTTTGTTTTTTTTAATTTTTGTCTATTTTTCAATGATGTTGATAGAATGAAATTAGCAAATGTCAACCAAACAGCGCGGTGAAAAAACTACGATACACCACTAAAATCAACAAATGATAATTGTTTTTTTTTCGGCCATGCCTTTTGCATACTAATTTGTCCTTGTTTCCCTTTAAAACTCCTTACGACAACACAATGATGAGATCGATCGATTCAAAATGATGATCAAAAAAAAAGTAGAACGACCAACAAATCAAATATATGAATAGAAAGTTTTCAGTGGACATTGTGGAAAAAATTGATTGTTCGGGATGAAATTTTAATAAAAATTTTAATTTTAGTTTTAAAAAAAATATTCTACGATACATTTTTTTTTATGAATTTTATTTTTAGCAATTTACTGATTTATGAATAAAATTTTTCCATTTTATCTGCTACTGTCTATCAATATAACATAATTATCATCATAAATTGATGAAACTCTAGAACAAAATAAAACAAAGCAAAAAAAAATCTAACTTTAAAATTTATTGAGAAAACAAGTATTTTTAATTCTTTCAAATCGCAATAGATATATTTTTTGAATATCAAATGTGAATTTTATTCATGGGAAGGGCGGCAATTTAATCATATTGGGTATCCAATGTAATTGATATTATTTACATCGATATATTTTTCATTTTTGTTTTTGATTTGAATAAATTATTGCCTGGACAATGAAATTTATGTTAATTATTATAATTAATGGCTAGTGTTTGTTAATGTGATATTTGATCTGAAACATTGTGTTTGAAAATTGGAAAATTTTATCGTTATCAATAAGAACCAATCGGTTTTGTTTTTCTGTTTTGTTGACTAATAATAATTGGTTTGATTAGACATGTTTTTTTTCTCCCTTAGCAATAATTTGGTGCAGGATTTTTACATTTACCATAACCAAATGTAAATTTATCGATTGCAAAGAAACCAGTTTTTCCTTGATGATAATGTGTTTCCAAAAAGAATCGCGGATCACCATCATTCAGATCTAATTGGATTTCAATCTCATTCCATCGATTCGATTTGGTTTGAAGATCATGATCAGCAAAAATACATTTATTCTCTTTATCCTGTTGTATAACGAAAAAATTTTCCGGTCCTTCACCATTGGCGTAATATCCTATGAATAGACAGGCATTTTTCTGATTAGCCGGATAGTAATGGGTAATCAATCGAGCACCCGGATAACGTTGTACACGTGGTAATCGTAAATTCAATAGCAACAATGAACGACGGCCAAACAATGGATGTCGTGGATTATAATATCTATTGAATTGAGCAAGATTATGTTGATTACGGAAATGACAAGCATCAATCTCAAAATTACAATCCCATAAAACATTATCGATAGCATAAGGAGATCGGGATTGATTTGGATATGGATATTGTGGCTGCACCATTTCGGTAATAGTGGCCATGACCATTAGAAAGACAAAAATTTTTATCACTTGATAACTTTGCATTTTGTTCGGATTGATTGAGTTCTAATTGTTTGGTCTAAAATATTTAGTCGAATATGATTGAATCAAATATTTTAAAAAATAATCACCGCAATTGAAAAAAAATCAAATGAATTATTCGAAAATTTGAAACTGAAAAAAGGGGAAAACACAAAACATTGAAAAAAAAGAATTTAGAGTAAGATGATAATTGGCGCAATTAAATATAATATGAATTGATGGGTATTTAATCTCGAAAATGATTTTTTTTTCTAATAAATAGAAAAGCTGGCAGTTTGATGGACTAGAGTGATTTTTTAAAGAAGCAATGATGCTAATTGATTATGATGATGTTGATGGCTATGATGATGCTGATGATGATGACAAAACAGAATTGAATATGATTGTCTCCGCGGATTTTGGTTGTGTTGATAATTGATGATCACGAACAAATGGAAATGTCAACGATTAATTTTGGTTTATTAGATCTATTAAAATCTATGTTTTTTTCTTCTTCTTTTTCCCTCTTTCTCTCTTAGTCTATCTCACTGTTTGTGTGTAAGTATCGTTATGTTGTATAGTTGATGATGGAAATGTTGATGTTTTAAATATGAAACCTATGATGATGATGACGATTATGATGATAATGATGACGACAAAGCGATTCAACGACAACGATCGCAGATCTGATCAATTAATGGGTCTATTAGATGCAATTCAATGAATGATTGAATGAATTAATGGAATGGAATGGAAAATTGATTGATTGATTTCTATGGATGGATTGCTGTTAGTTGTATCGACAATTACTATATATGTTATAGACAGTATCTTGATTATTGGAATTATTTATCATCATTATTATTATTTTTTTTTATATTGATTTTGATCAATGTTGTATGTATTTAGATGATGATTGTCGTGGAAGCGTCAGCGTTTCAATAGTTATGGCAATAATATATGGTTGTTTGATCATCATCGTTGTCGTAGTCGTCGTCGTATATATGTTATTGATTTGTGTGAGATTTTTTATTATTATTATTCAATAACAGTTCTGTAGATGTAATCAAACAAATCAAATAGAAAAATAGAAATAATGAAAATGAAATGATCAATTAATTTATTGATAATGAAATTTGTGTTCCACGGAATGTCCACAAAACAATAAAATCACATTGATTGTTTATTTATTTTTCCCTATTTTCGAAAACAAAATTACGGAAATAAATACTTGAAATTATTTTTCGCACTTTCTTTATCTCTCTCTAACAATGAATGAAAATGACCGTTGACAATCACATCTATCAGACAAATGCTTTTCATCAAATGATAATGGTGAATGAACTATTCATTGATTTCGAATTGATGTAAATTAACATACAAAGTAGCTGTGTTTGTATACATGTGGTTATGTTCGAAATAACGAATGAATCGCCCACATATATGCGCGAACAATCTTTTTCGATTTTTCTCGTAATAATATGTATAAACTGTGCTTTCTCTCTCTTTGTCTGATCAATGTTGTTCTAATAGATTTCCGAATGCAAGGGAAAAAATTGTTATACACTTGGATACCGGTCTGTTGATTATTTATTCGACGGTTTTTTTTGATGAATGTGGATAAAATAAAGGATGCACAGAAAAAACTTGACAAAAATGGTTAGAATGATAATGATAAACTTGTTGTTCGATTTTGTGTTACAATGGATACTATCATATAATAGGTCCGATTAACCAAAGCATCAATTGTACACCAAAACAAAAAATGATGCGGTATCACGTAGAAAAAACAACAAAAACAGAAAAAAAATGATTATGATTATAATCTAAGCAACGGTTATTTCTGTCTTGGAAGATTGCTGATGTAATCGTGAGTCAATTCTAAGTAAATAGAAAAATTTCATCTTAATTTTAATTAATAATTATAATAATCAAAATGATATGATCATATTTACACAGGTAAAAAATATATATGTCGGATCACAAAATGAAATTCAAGATGAAATTTAGAACCTCAAATATTTGATATGTGTAGATGATGCTTGAGACAATAATTGACAGTCAAAAAAAATTGTTACAATAAAATTACTTTTTAAAAAAATAAAATCTTTGATATCAAATAAGATTTGTGAAAAAGAATTTACAAGAAAAATAGAAATATCTTAATCGATTCAATGTCTGTACTTGTGCGATGTTTATATTTGTTGTTCCAGGATTCGGATAAATGATCTATTGCGCCGTATCAAATTATTTCGAGGGTAGACGACAAGGATACCATTAATACGAAATATATAGAAAAAAATGTTGTATCTATAGTGATTCAAATTTCTTTTTTTTTAATTCGTATCGGATGTAAATCTGATCTAAATCAACAACCAAAAAAACAAACAAACAATCATTTATATATTCGTGTTGTGATTGATTGATCAATCTGTTTTTCTTGTCTTTCAATTGGTAAAATCAAAAAATTCCTAAATTGATAAAATCCAGGAACTAAACATTGTTAATATGAGCAATGACATTGAGATTGGAATGTTACAGCTAATTTTTGATTATGTTAATTCATTAGTATATATAGCATATCATAGACAAACTCGAGACATTGTATGATGAGCTGAAAATATAGTTATATAGTTACAAGGATGTTTCTAGTTTGTTTTATTACAATTTAAATTCTAATACATTTAACGAATGAAATCATAATGATAATTTAGATGTGTAATTTTAAAACATGCAATCAAGACTTTACTTGTAATAATTTTGATTTTATCATTGATTTTAATTGAATAATCAGCTTATTGTGATGATCATTCATTTTTTTTCAATAAATATTTGCACATCAAATCTCATTAATTGATCTGATTCAATTTGAGGATTTTCTAATGAAATCTATGATTTTTATTATTGAATTGTCCTTCTTTTATTCATAATCATTTTCCTTGGGTAGTTGTCCAACGTCAACAATCAATCAAATCGTTGTGGTTGTTGTCATGGTTGGATTGCCTGTTGATGAAAATCTGTAATGATCCAAATTTTTTTTTCTATTAACGATCATTATCATTTGGTGATGATGATGATAAAATAATTGGGTCATAACGATTCTGGAATTGTGAAATGATAAACAATCAACCAACCAACAAACCAACCAATCATTGGCCTCAAAAAATAACAATCAAACCAAAGATTAGAAAAAAAAATATGAATGTATTTAGATCAGAAAGACCAGAAATGATAGTAAGCCAGTAAGTTGTTCCCATTATTTTGTTTTTCTTTTATTTTTTTTTGGGTTTTAATCTTACAATGGTTGGGTTATAATCTTATACATTTATAAACATACAGACACACATACATATCTGTAGGGCAATATTTTCTGTTATTAAACATGTAAACCACACCTTAGTTGATAAACGATATTGGAAAAAACCTATATATCTTTTTCAAAAAGTTTTATAAATTAAAACCACCAATTATTGATAAAATACAAAGAATCCGTATAGCAAAAAAGATTCTATTTGATATGAAATCGAAAAGAGTTAGATAGATGAATCTGTTGATGTAGAAAAAGAAAAATTGATTTCATCATACAAAGCCTTTTTTTAATCAACATGACCTCATTTGGTCAAGAGATATGATGATCGTAACGATATGATAAGAAATCAAATTGAAATTCATTGTGATGAATAGAATTTGTAGAAATGTATAAAAATGAAGGAAAAATGGAAACAAAATGTGTGTATGTTTTTTGTTGTTGTTGATATTGCACGTGCGGATTTACGAACGTGTTGTATACATGAAACGAAATTTCTTTCTCACTCCATTCATTTTACAATAGTACAATTATAACAACAATGAAAAAAATCAATATTCTCATCATGTATTGTTCATTTTAATGATTGATCATTAATATTAAGCAAATGGAATGCTGGAATTCGAAATCAAATTTTTTTGATATTCTATTTTGAAATGTTTTATCAATTTTGTTGTTGTTGTTGTTGTCGTTAGTGGTTAAACAACAATTTTTTGTTTGTGTTTATATCATATTTTCATCATAACAAATTTCTGATTTTCGAAATGTTTGTTTGCTTTTTTTTCGATTTTCCATTCGTTGAATAAATGTAATTAACATTAATTAATCAATTTTGATCATGTTTTTGGATGATTTCATCACATTGATCAAATTCCATCATGATCATGATCATCATCATCGATGATTATCATGTTTCACCCATTGATGATAAAAATATCGATGATGATGATGATTAATTTAAACAAACAACAATTTGTTTTTTTAATCATTTTTCATCAACACGGAACAACATCGATTTTGTCTGGCCCGTTCATTTTTGTGAAAACATTCAACCCGATGTTATGGAAATATGACCAAATCTATTCGATCAATGAAATCAAAATCAATCTATGACATTGATGATAACCATAAAATGATAGTAACGATTCATTAATTAATCATATGGCAATGATGATAATGATGATAAATACGAATATAATTTGATTAAAGCCATAATGTTCAATCGCAATCAACCCAACATAAGTGATTAATTATTTTATTGTTTTTAACGAAAAAAAAAGAATGTTCATCAAATAATAATTGAATATTTACTAATCAATTTCGATCAAATTTCGTTCAAATTTCATCATGATCCCATCAATCGTAAACATTGAGCAAACATTAAAATTCAATTTTTAAGCTTTTTTTATTATAGCTGATTTGAATGAATCATTGTGATCATCTTGTGATGGCAACCTTGAATCAAGACACAAAACATTGTTTCTTTAACAATAACAACAACAACGGCAAAAGAAAATGATTGGTCAGAATAACAAAATCAATAAGTGGCCAAAAAAATTGAAAAGAAAATCTTTTAAGATCAATTTTTCTTCTGATGATATGTTTTCTTTGACAAGTGTGAAAATTGAATATTAAATCAGTCATTATTATGTTGCCTCATCAATATCGTATAACAATTTTTTCTTTCGCTGTTGATATTAATCCGAATAAATTGAATATGGATGTTGCATTCATCAAACATTATTCAATCAGGTCCAAAAGATACAACTGTAAATTGTATTTTCATTCAAATAGATGATTTGACACTCACGAATTTTATGTTTATGGCCAATCAATTCATTTTGAAATGATGTTTTTTTTTGAATTTTTTCCCATTACATTCAACCCATCTTATTAATTTATGATGAAATGAATGAATAAATTCCAATGAAATTAAAGAAAAAAAAATTCAAAACAAGCACACTGATAATTCACAAGAGATGGCGTAATAACCACCGATAATGATTTTCATTAGTTATTTTTTCCATTGAATATTTTCTA